AAAGTAAGTTATATATAGACTGTTTTACAGGGATCCAAAAAGCAATGCACCAGAAATTTTTTTTTTTTTTTTTTTTTTAAAGATGACCGGTAAGGGGATCTTAACCCTTGACTTGGTGTTGTCAGCACCACACTCTCCCGAGTGAGCCACAGGCTAGCCCAATGCACCAGAACATCTTAAGACTAGATTTTCTTATTTACCTAATGGACGTAAATGAGCTGCTATATATGCAGTTATCTTCTTGTGGTTTGATAGCTCCTCAGAATTTATCATTACATTGATGAGGTCAGAAAGAAAAATTAGTAACTATTCTCAGCTGTTCCTCCCCATTCTGTTTCTCTGCTACTTTTGAGCAAGGAATCCAGAACTAAATTACTGGCCAGGACATTTTTTGGTGGGGGTGGGGGGAGGATGCTTGCTTGTACTGACCTTTTTTTCCCCTCCTCAATTCTTTACTATTTTAGCTATTTTCCTGGACAATGTGAATGGATCTATTGTCCAGGGGATGCCATATCTTCAGTTGCTGCTTCCGAGAAGAGTACTGGAAAAATTTTCATTTATGATGGTCGAGGAGATAACCAGCCACTTCATATTTTTGACAAACTCCATACATCACCTCTTACTCAGATACGGTTAAACCTAGTTTACAAAGCAGTAGTGTCTTCTGATAAATCTGGAATGATTGAATACTGGACTGGGCCTCCTCATGAATATAAATTCCCTAAAAATGTGAACTGGGAATATAAAACTGATACAGATTTGTATGAATTTGCCAAATGTAAGGCTTATCCAACCAGCATATGTTTTTCACCAGATGGGAAGAAAATAGCTACTATTGGTTCTGATAGAAAAGTTAGAATTTTCAGGTTTTTAACTGGAAAACTCATGAGAGTCTTTGATGAATCACTGAGTGTAAGTGCAATTTAAATTTAATCAGATTTTACTTTTCTAAAAGTATCTTTATTTTGTGTTATTTCTTCAAAGATATTTTTTCTGGATATAGACATTTGACGCTTATTTTCTCTTAGTGTATTAAAGATAATATTCAGCAGTTTTCTATCTTGCACTGTTGATCTTTGAAACTCTCTTCCCTAGATTTATGATGTCATATTTTCCAAGCCAGTTATCGTATTTATGTGGCTGGGTTTTTGTTTTGTTTTTCCAGTTTTGTTTTGCTTGTCAGTTCATCCTCTTAAGATACTCAAAACTTATTCCAGGCCCCTTTCTCTTGTCACTCTTTACTCATGCCTGTTCATATGACTACTCCCAAATTTATTTCTCCAGCTTCCTACTATGAACAGATCTGATCCTATCCTTTTTTTTTTTTTTTTTTTTTTTTTTTGCGGTATTCATGAATAGTACCAATTTCAATGTAGTTGAACAAACCAGAAATTAAAGAATCATCCTTAAATCTTTTTCATTACTCCTCTATTTATCATGAGTCTTGCCAATTTTGCTTTCTAAGTATACATCAAATATATCCATTTCTTATCAGTACAGCTGTTACTACCCTAGTTCATGATCTTTTGCCTGACCTATTGCATGGCCTACTGCCTGTATCTTCTGGCTTCCTCCTAATACCCACTCTGCATCCAGAGCAATCTTTTAAAAGCACATATCTGGTCATGTCATTCCTTTGCCTAGAATTTTTCAGTGACTTCCTGTTGTTCTTAGGATCAAGATCAAAATGTTCGCCTATCATGTTGTGGCACCTGTCTACCACTCCAACCCACCATAAATCACCTTTCTCCCTGTCTTTCAGTTTCTTGAACATGCCTCCCACCACTGGGCCTTTGAGTATGCTATTCCCTCTGCCTGGAATGAAACTCTTTCTCCTTTCACATTCTTTCATTAGTACCTATTTAACTTATCCTTCAAACTTCAATTGAAGGGTTACTTCCTTTGGGAAGCTTTCACTGCTCATCCAGTCTAGGACAGCTTTTTTAATGTGACTGTATATCACTCTATCCATTTTTCTTTTACTGCATTTGGTGTGGTCATATTATTTGGTTAATGTATATCACCCCTAGTAGAATAAGCTCTATGTGATCTATTTTGGCTCATGATTGTATCTCCAGCACTAGTACCTGACACAGAATTACCTCAAATATCTGTTGAGTTATTTAGCCATCACTTGTTAGACTGGTAACAAGAATTTATGAGAGTATATAGTTGTAAAATAAGAGTTTTTATCCATGCAAAGTTAAGTGGTTTCTCTGGATAGTTGGGTCTCATCAACTATTTCCACAAGGTGGTTTTCTGACTGCTAATAATAAATATGTTGAATGCTGTAAAAGTATATGGGTTGAACCTGTTTAGCAATAGTTTTTTATAGTATAACTGTCAACGCTATAGTCCTTTGTAGTGACCAATATACATTGGATTTCCCACATTAAGCTCTTCAAAAATTCTGTGAACTCTTATTAGTGGCACTCTTGTTTTCGTGGCAAGTGGTCATGAATTGGATGCTGTTTGCCTGAAGTAATATGAATCCAGACGGATGTGAATATCTGTTTGTTAGCCAAATCATCCTCATGATAGCCTTCCACCCTGCTTTTAAAAAGAAAACTTTCTTGGTGATGTTTTCTTCTTTTATGGTGGCTGATAACTAGATACTACTTATAATTTAAATATAATTTCAAAACTACCAACTTGCACCTCTTCCAAGATTCCTCAGGGAAAGAAATATACAGAAAGTCTGGACATAAATCTCTTAACACACACACTCTGAACTGCTCAACCCACTCTATTTCTTCATCATTGTCTTCAACATTTGTTGAAGTGATAGGGCTGAGGTGGCAAGAGGAGGTCAGTAGTAAAGCTTATGACAGAAGTTGAGATTCAGAATGATCATTTGCCAGAAAAGCCAAGCTTCAACAGTTAAATTAGTTACTTAACAATGCTAGTGACTAGTAAATGACTGGAATTTCACAGTTCCAGCAGAGGGCAGTGAAGGGGAGAGCTAATTGGTTAAAGTCCTAGTTTAACAGACAAGAAATTGAACGGGATGGTGTGAATTTGCATCTTTTACTTTCTGTCTGTCTATTGCTGGCCAGTATAGGAATCAACCCCCTGATGTTGGTGTTATCAGCACCATGCTCTAACCAACTGAGCTAACAGTTCAGCTCTCTTTTAGTATTTATTAACCACAGTCACCAGATATGACCATGAAGTTGTATATCATAAAGGCCCTGCGAAGACCAGAACACTGTAAAAAGATTCTGATCAGGTGCTTGATTGGATAAACATTTATGACGTTCTTGTATATGGACAGGTGACCACCTATAGACCATGTCTTAAAAACTGACTCTTCTCTCTAGCAGAAATGATCATGAGTCACCCACTACAAAAATGTAATCCAGCATTCTAGGCTATTCCTGGCATACAAATAAGCAATGTATCAGTATCTCTGTCTTTGAGACTGAAGATAAGAAAACATAATAACTAGGCTTTTTAGTTCTATAAGACCTTGGCTTGATGCTTGTACTGTAACATACATACATACCTCCTCCTGATTTCTGGAGTTTTGTATATTGTTCTTCCCCTATCTAAAAAGAACTGGATATTTTCTGTTAATACAAGCATGAAACAATAATAGAAATAAATGGGACATGAGTGTGGCTTATTTTTATTTGCAACAGAGAACTACTTTTGAATTCTACTATTTGATGCCCTGAATGTCTGGAAAACAATATAATGATCATATCTTTTGGAGGGCTTGTAGTGTGCTAATTCAGAGTAATTGTGATGTGATATCCGTCTTGAAAATTATGTATTAAATATCAAAAGAAAAGTAAAAATTCCTAACTATAAAGCACTAATAAAAATACTCATTTCTCCCAAATCACATTAACCTAATGGTAATCTAACATAATTGCCCCATGTCAAGATAACTTGAAACATTTTCTGAAATATTAAAAATTCCTAACTATAAAGCACTAATAAAAATACTCATTTCTCCCAAATCACATTAGCCTAATGGTAATCTAACATAATTGCCCCATGTCAAGATAACTTGAAACATTTTCTGAAATATGAATTTGTTATAAATTAATGAGATAATAAGAATTCATTTATTCAATAAAAATTGAGTGTTATATGTCAGGCATACGATCCTTGAACAAGGACCTCATACTCTATAGATGCATTGTCCAATATAAGTAGCCACTGTCGCTGGCCAGTTAGCTCCAGTTGGTTAGAGCACGGTGTTTATAACACCAAAGTCAAGGGTTCGGATCCCCAAACTGGCCAGTCGCCGAAAAATAAGTAGCCACTAGCCACATGTGGCTGTTGAGCATTTGAATATGGCTAGTCCAACCTGAGATGTGCTGAAAGCATAAAATACATACAAGATTTCAAAGACTTAATTTTTTTTTAAATAATGTAAGTTATCTCTTTTTATATTGTTAATGTTGAAATGATAATATTTTGGATACACTGGGTTGAATAAAACATTAAATGAATTTCACCTGTTTCTTTTTACTTTGTTTAACATACCTACTAGAAAATTTATAATTACATATGTGGCTTGCGTAATATTTCACTGGGAAGTTCTAGTCTGTGGCTTTTAGAAGGCAGCAGATATGTTATTTCTGTAGAGAAAGCAGTAGTTATAGTAACTTTTTTTTAATTTGGAGAACCAGTTTTGTTTTTAACTAAGAACTAGTAAGGTATTTTTTTTTTAATTAGGAGAACCAGTTACCATTTAATGTAAAGTACTATTTTTTATAATTGAACTTATTATAATGTCTTTATTTCCTACTTACACTGTTTAGAATCTCTATTAAGATATAAAATTACACAAACTGTTAGTGGCTCTTAATATGTATTTTTCTTCTATTTAAATTCTCATTACCTTTATTTTATATAAAATGTAATTTATGTAAAATATACAAATATATAATATATAAAACATAATTATATAACAAAATTTATATTTTAAATATCAAATATGTTTGATATAAAAAAGGCAATGGGAATTTAAATAGAAGCAGAATACACATTAAGAGCTACTAAAAGTTTGTGTTATATACATTCTTAATAGAGATTCTAAACACTAATTAGGAAATAAGGACATTATATTAACTTTATATATGTTATATATATAGTAAAGGCAATGAGAATAAACGTGTGTGTATATGCCACGTTTTTGTTAATAAATGGTTTGTTTCCTAGATGTTCACTGAATTACAGCAGATGAGGCAACAGCTGCCAGACATGGAATTTGGCCGACGAATGGCTGTGGAACGTGAGTTAGAGAAGGTGGATGCCGTAAGATTAATTAATATAGTTTTTGATGAAACTGGACACTTTGTGCTATATGGAACAATGCTGGGCATTAAAGTTATAAACGTAGAGACAAACCGGTAAGCTTTAATATGATGTATGTTTTTTTAAATGCAATTAGGGGGGACCATTCCCTCCATCAGGGAAACAATGGGAGTTTTGTTTGTTCCAAGATAAGTGGAATGGTCCCAAATGTCTAAACTTAACCAAATGTTTTGACTGGATTTTTCTGTGGTCTCTTGGTTGTTTATAATCTATGTAAAAAGTTTCCACTCATGTTTGTAAAAGAAATGGAAAGAAGATATGCATAGTTTCAAGTTTTGTTTTGTTTTGTTTTTAACAAGTTTCACTCTGCCTTTTGCTTATTGATTTAAATTAGCCTGGTTCATGTTAAATGTTGCCAAATATTTTAACCACAGAATTCAGCATTACATCCTGCTAGACATAAAATCAGAAGTTAAAATGCATGAAACCACAAAAAGACTTTTGTGGAAACAGTCCATTTGGTCTTAGTACAAAACAGCTACAATCAGATACTATCACTGAATGTAAATGAAAAGAACTTAAAGAATATTTTAAGGAAAAAAATGTTCTGCACATTCCCACATATAGACATATTTATATTGTAGTTCTTGGCGATACAGAATCTTTGAAGTCTTACAGAAAGATTAAAATAATAGGAATAGGTTAAAATTGTAAAAATGAATGATTGATTTTTTGTTTTTGTTTTTTAACAGAACAGTTTGGGGGTTTTTTTTGTTTTGTTTTGTTTTTGTTGTTGTTGTTTTTTAGAACAGTTATAAGTTCACAGCAAAATTAAGAGGAAGGTATAGGGATTTCCAGTATACCCTCTGCCCCACACATGCATAGCCTCCCCCATTATCACCATCCCCCACCAGAGTGGCACATTTGTTACAACTGATGAACCTACATTGACACATCATTATCATCATAATTTACATTTAAGGTTCACTCTTGGTGTTGTGCCTTCTATGGGTTTGGACAAATGTATAATGATATGTATCCACCATTATAGTATCAAACAGAATACTTCACAGCCCTAAAAATCCTCTGTTCTCCCTCCCTACCCTGTAAAGCCTGGCAACTGCAGATCTTTTTATTGTCCTCCATAGTTTTGCTTTTTCCAGAATGTCATATAATTGAAGTCATACAGTATGTAGCCTTTTCAGATTGGCTTCTTTCAGTTAATAATACGCATTTAAGTTTCTTCCATGTCTTTCCATGGCTTAATAGCTCATTTCTTTTTAGCACTGAATAATATTACATTGTTTGGATGTACTACAATTTATTTATTCATTCACCTATTGAAGGACATCTTGGATGCTTCCAGGTTTTGGCAGTTGTGAATAAAACTCCTATAAACATTCCTGTACAGGTTGTTGTGTGGACATAAGCTTTCAACTCTTTAGGGTAAATACCAAGCGGCACGATTGCTGGATCTTATGGTAACAGTATGTTTAGCTTTGTTAGAAACTGCCAAACTGTTTTCCAAAGCAGCTATGCCCTTTTGCATTCCCCCCAGCAATGAATGAGAGGTTCCTGTTGCTCCACATCCTCCCCAACATTTGGTATTGTTAATGTTCTGGATTTTAGCCATTCTTATAAATGTGTAGTGGTATCTTGTTTTGGTTTGCATTTCCCTTATGAAATATGATGTGGAGCATCTTTTCATGTGCTTATTTGCCATTTGTATATCTTCTTTGGTGAGGTATCTGTTAAGTTTTTTGGCCCGTTTTTTAATCAGGTTGTTGGTATTCTTATTGTTAAGTTTTAAGAGTTCTTTGTATTTTTTGGATAACAGTCTTTTATCAGTTGTCTTTTGTAAATGTTTTCTCTGTGGCTTTCATTCTCTTGATTGTATTTTTTTAACCTGAAAATTATAGCTGCCTACCAACTTAAAATACCTTTTTTGGGGAAGATAAACATTTTTAAAAACCTTTCAGGGCCGGCCCGGTGGCGCACTGGATAGTGTGCCGCTTGGGAAGCACGGCGGCGCTCCCGCCTGAGGGTTCGGATCCCACATGCAGACCGGTTCCCGCTCACTGGCTGAGCGAGGCGCGGGAACAACACCGAGGGTTGCAATCCCATTGCCGGTCCCCGGTCCGGTACGGGGGCAACACTGAGGGTTGCGATCTGTTGCCGGACACGGAAAAAGACAAAAGACAAAAAAAAAAAAAAAAAAAACCTTTCAATAGTTATTTATGTACATAAAGGATAGTTGATTCCTAGCTTTTATCTGTAAAGTTGTCATGATTGGAGTTAATTCTGGTGATTTTACTGTATAAAACGCTGTATTTTTCAGGTGTGTGCGGATCTTAGGCAAGCAAGAAAATATTAGAGTGATGCAATTAGCTTTGTTCCAGGGAATAGCCAAAAAGCATCGTGCTGCAACTACTATAGAGATGAAAGCTTCTGAAAACCCTGTTCTTCAGAATATTCAAGCTGACCCAACAATAGTCTGTACATCTTTCAAGAAGAATAGATTCTATATGGTATGTGGAAGTACTAGGACATACACCTTAATGTTTCTTCCAGTTTGGCTGGAAGTTTTATTTTCTTGGCTTATGCCTCAACTGAAGAGAATGTTGGCAGTAATAGCAGACTTTCTAAACAACCAGAATACCATCTTAGAACATTAATATTGTAGAATTTCCAACTAAGAATTGATTTTAAGTATTTCTTTACTGTTTTCCATCATGTTTTGTAAAATTTTCAACCTGGCTTTTACAACTATTTGTCTTTCTAAGATGAAGGAAGTTAGTGGTTATGGTCATAATTGCATCCAAAATAGTTTTCATGTTGGGGTTTTAAATTTTCTTTTTAATGTTTTTATTATTTCTTAGCTTTTACTCTTTTTTTTTTTTTTTTTCTTTTTTAAAGATGACCAGTAAGGGGATCTTAACCCTTGACTTGTATAAAAATAAAAAATAAAGCACACATATTCCATTTTAAAGTTTGAGGAAATAGAGAAACGTAAAATAAATAATTCAGTGCTTCCTTAATATGTTTAGGAATTTTCTTTCAGTCTTATTAGATGTACATATTCTTAAGCAAAGCTAAGATGGTATGAACATGTATGAACATACATATGAATTTTCTCTTTTTTCAAATCCAACATCATGAAACATAAGTAGAATTTCACAAATCTAAATCAAGATAAACTTTTTAAAAATCCATGTGAATAGTACAACAGATATGTCATTCCTTTGAAACTGGAGAATAAGAGGTTACAGTGATAATATCCTAGCTTGGTTTTTTCTTTATCTGGAATCTATCCAAGTCGATCAAGGAATAACATTATATAAGAAAGGGACTGGGGCATCAGCTTTACCTTCTGAGAACTCAGTTGGCATCAGGTAGAGCTTGCTTATGAGAGAGGATTTCTACTTCCTGAGAGTCAAGTAAAAGAAACAGGCCTTGAGAAGTCCAGATTTTAACAACTGAACAGTTTTTCTCAGTTCTCCTAATACCCTGAGAATCGTGAGATTTCTACAAATTCACTCAAAATGTATATTCTTTTTTCCAAGTTTCAGGACTTAGATCAGCTGGAGCTCTGGGGTGGGGGGGTGGGGAGTGGGGAGAAAGTCAAGATCCATTTACTGATTCATCTTTGTGAATCCCAATCCTATCTAGTACTGAGTGCTGCTCATAGCAGTAATAGCAATTATTAGTATTTATATAGTACCCTCTATGTGTTAGGAACTGTTGTCTAAGCACTTTATACCTATTTATTTAATATTCACAACTACTTGCATTGGGAGGTAGGTACTATTATCCCCATTTATGAATGAGGAAATGAAAGAAATTAATTCATGTCCTCAAAGTCATATAACTAGTAGATGGCAGAACTGGAATTCAAACCCAGGCAATAAATAGTGAAAAGTGTCCTGGAGCCTCTTGGATCTACATTAAGTGAAATAAAGCCAGGCACAGAAAGAAATACTGCATGTCCTCACTCATAAGTGGGAGCTAAAATAGAGAAAGACAATAAAGAAACACAATAATACATGGAACTTTCAAAAAAAAACAGAACTGTGGTTATTAGAGGTGGAAAAGGGGAAGGGGAGGAGGGTTAGGAAGATATTAGTTAAGGGTCGCAAAGATTGATTATGTTTTGTAAACATGACTATACTCATTATCGATTTCATCACTACATATTGTACATATGTATAGATATTAAATTCTGTACCCCACAAACATATATAATCAATTATATTTCAATAAAAATAAAGAATAGTGAAAATTAAGCAATAGGTAGCAAGTTAGTTCATACTAGTAGGCAGAAGTAGATAGCTACCACAAATAAAACCATTATCTTATTAAATGTGTACCCAAGAAAATTTCTACCCAAAGGAAATTAAATACCATTTGAATCATACATGTTTGTTATATTACATGGATTACTTTTATATCAGACAAATGTAAAAATAATTTAACTGCCTTACATGTTCTATGATGGGAAGTGATTCCTGAAAAAAGGATTTATTCTGATGTGAATTCTTACTTTCCTCAAATACTTTATTAGAAATGAAATTTCCTTCTTAATAAATTTTTACCAGATAAAAACTTTAATTCATTCACTCTCTTTTTGTTTTCTCCTTGAGTTTACCAAACGAGAACCAGAAGATACAAAAAGTGCAGATTCTGACCGAGATGTTTTTAATGAGAAACCTTCTAAAGAAGAAGTCATGGCAGCTACTCAAGCTGAAGGACCTAAACGAGTTTCAGATAGTGCCATAATCCACACAAGCATGGGAGACATTCACATCAAACTTTTTCCTGTTGAGTATGTACTGTTTTTGTTGTCTTACAGAAATACCACTGTAAATGTGTATATTTGAGGAAACTATGCAAATTTTACTACTTTGATTTAAGAGATTTTAACAATTTGAAATGTTTGATAGAGCATCTATTCCTGAGCTTTCTGATAGCTATGTTCCACTAGAAAATGGAGAAATTTTATACATACATACACATACTTTGCAGGTTTATTATGAGGACAAAATATATGGCTATGAAAGTGCTGAATATAAACTGAAAAGTGATATACAAAGATATATCAGTATGACCATTAATTGCACATCCAAAACTCTGGGTTTGGGGCTTGGTTGTTATAACTTGCTTTCCTCTTAGAGCAAATCCTTAAGGGAAAGATAATTATTTTTCCTCCTGACATTTGCTAGACATCCCCTCTTCTTTAGGTCCAGTAGCTGTAAGTTTTTAAAACAAATTACGGGGCTGGCCCGTGGCTCACTTGGGAGTGTGTGGTGCTGATAACACTTGGGAGTGTGTGGTGCTGATAACACCAAGGCCACGGGTTCGGATCCCATATAGGGATGGCCGGTTAGCTCACTGGGTGAGCTTGGTGCTGACAACACCAAGTCAAGGGTTAAGATCCCCTTACCGGTCATCTTTTAAAAAAAAAAAAACAACAAATTCCAACAGAAAATGTAAAGGCTTCAATTGAAAACAAGCTAAAAAGTATTACAGACAGTTTAAAAGTTTGTAAAATGAACATGCAATACCAAATAGAATAGAATATCTCTGGCCATTGTTGATCAATCCAAAAGGTGACATCTTTCACAACACGTTTACTAAAAATTACTTATTTATTTTGGATATGAATTTTTATCATACCATATGTTAGTACTGAACAAAGAACTAGGCAGTTCTAGACTCCTGGACAGTCTCATTTCAAGTGCTCAGAACCATGCATCCTTGAGCCTGTTTCCTGATATACTTGGTTCAAGATTCTCTTAATTTTCCCTTCCATTCCCAGCTCTTGGAGCTATTACACGATAATGTACCATATGAAATCATTTTATGAGATTAGGTAATATTGTTGCAAATGCTTCATATTATAAGTGTGTGACTGTCATTTAAAGCTGATTAAATTTAGGAGATGTATAAAAAGTTCTTGGTCAGGAATGTGTCACTGTACTACAACATTGTTTTTATAAGAAAATTACCTTTCGCAGGAACTTAACCCCACTATATGTGGTAAACTGACTTAAGATATATATCTTAAGGTGCTGTTTTTCTTTTTTATTTGCTAAATGACCTTGAAATCTAAATACTGTCAAACTCAAATATTAGTAAGCAGTCGTGATCTAAAAATACTACATTAAACAATAAGAACATACTACTACTTACATGCCCTTTCAACTCTTGCTTGTCATGAGATTAGAGGAGGGTATGAAAAAGACTGTCCTTCTGAAACATTCAGAAGACATTGAAAACATCATTAGGAGGCAGTACTACAAAGAAAACTGTCTTAAGATGCTCTGAATAGGTTTCATATTTTTAATATATGTCTTATAGGTGCCCTAAGACAGTGGAAAACTTCTGTGTTCACAGCAGAAATGGTTATTATAATGGGCATACATTTCACCGTATAATTAAGGTAAGTTGCACAAATTTCATGTGATTTAAAATATCTGGAATCAAGGACAGCAATGGTGGCATGATTACCTTTTTAGAAACACAGCAGCAATATTTTGTCATCAGCTAAAGCAAAGGATAAGATAATGAGTAAAGGGTCATGCTGAGATAAAACAACAACCAAGTTAACCTATTCCTAGTGACTAGACAGGGATTAGGTCTAGATGATTTTAGATAATGGAAGAGCCATAATGCCATCTGATCTATGAGAACTACTATTATACCTGAGGAGCAGAGATAAAACAACAACCAAGTTAACCTATTCCTAGTGACTAGACAGGGATTAGGTCTAGAAGATATGATTTTAGATAATGGAAGAGCCATATGCCATCTGATCTATGAGAACTACTATTATACCTGAGGAGCAGAGTGAGCTCAACCCTGGAAATTTGTTGAGCAGCATTCCAAAAAGTGGATGGGGCAGTGATACAGTTCTTGGTTACTGGTAGATCAGAAATGGCAGGAGAAAAAAATCAAATCTCAGGGAAAGGGAGGGAGAGAAGAGAAGGGCAATTATACAAGACTTAAAATACTACACAAATCCTAAAATTTAGTATTAACTGGTTTCTAATTAGGTTATTGGGAAAGATAGTACATGTCTATAAATAAGAAAACCATTGCATTTTTGTTTCAATCATTGAATATAAGGTGGTGGTTGAGCAATAGAAATGCATCACCCAAATTTAAGTATATCTTACTAAGGGTTTAATCAAATCACTTCAGAGGGACTCCTAAGGAAGTTAAGATTTCATTGAATTCAAAGCACTCTTGGCAGAAATATATAAAAGTCAAAAGCATACGTACATACACAGAAAAGGACAGTGTAATATTCTTTTGTATACTTTCTGTTAAGGGCTTCATGATTCAGACAGGAGATCCAACAGGTACTGGTATGGGAGGAGAAAGCATATGGGGAGGAGAGTTTGAAGATGAATTTCATTCAACATTACGACATGACAGACCATATACACTTAGTATGGCCAATGCTGGATTGAATACCAATGGATCCCAGTTTTTTATAACAGTAGTACCAACGGTAAGTACACCATTATTCTATAAACCGCAGATTCATAAGAAAGTAATTCACTGGAACAGAAAGCTGCATTATTTTCTGTTCTCTGCATTATTATATCTGCCAGGATATAAAAATGAAAACAATTTAGAGACAAAAATGTAAAATTACATAACAAATCAGTTTTGACTTGATAAAACAGTATTTTCATGTAGTAGAAAGTACAATGGACTATGATTCAAGATACTTGAGTTCCATGTCTCAACTCTGCTACTGCAAATTGTGCAAAATAAAACAAATTATTTTACCTCTCTGGCCATTTCCTCATCTTTAGAATGGAGAGATCAGAGTATATGAATTCCTGATTTTGAGACTTTTCCCCCCATCTTTATATCTCAAATCAGAATACAACTCATAATTAATGGCATTTCAGATTTGATGAAATATATTATAAGACCATTTAACTCTATTGCTGTGCAGTTCCACAAAATTATAAAAATTATACTTTTTTTTTTTTTTTTTAAGAATTAAGCACCAAGCAATGAAAAAGGAAAAATATTTATAACTACTAACTGCCAGGCACATAGTCTCATGTGATGTGAAGGGTCCTCAAAAAGTTCATGGAAAGATTTATATTATATCTTTTAATTCCATTTTTCCACAGATTTTTTGAAGTACTCTTGTATTTACAATACAAACTTCTAGTATCACTATCTCATTTTCAGTAATAGATGAGCAAACAGTGAGACATTAACTTGTCAGCGGTCAAGTAAGTAGCAGAACTAGCATTTGAACTCCCACTGTCTAATGCCAAAGCATGTGCTGCTTAAACTATTACAAACTGCCTCTTAATTGTTCAGGTAAGATTCCTGCAGAGAACTTTTAAAGCCTTAGCCATAATTCTTTCAGCCATGCAAAGTATCTTACCCTTAGCAAACATCTTCCAGCAGCTCCCTTTGGTCTGAAAGATGTACATACTTAATTAAACATTATACTGTGATTTTATATTTTCTCATGTAAACCAAGAATCACTTAGAGACGAAAGCTAAGTTTTTATTGCTAAGGAATTATTGTACTTCTTTTTAAATATATAATAAAAAATAAAGCATAAATTTAAATTCTCTTTAGTTTGCTCACCCAGAGGGTGTGATTTAAGAAATCTGAATATACCAAGATTTTCTGTTTGTCTTGAAAACAGCCTTGGCTTGATAATAAGCACACAGTATTTGGACGAGTGACTAAAGGAATGGAAGTTGTACAGAGGATCTCCAATGTCAAAGTCAATCCCAAAACAGACAAGCCTTATGAGGATGTCAGCATCATAAATATTACTGTCAAGTAAAATAAGATTTGTTTCATTGTATTTGCAAATAAAAATGCACATACAAAACACAAGATTATATTAAGAAGCTTAAGACTTGCTAAACATACAAATCATGTTACAAAGATGCAATATTACATTTTATATTTTTCATTAAATGTCATTTTCTAAAAACTGTGCTTGGTTTTTTTGGCAATATTTTTAATCCCAGGAGGTGATAAATTGAAATAGACTAAACTCAGGCAAATAGAATTCCTTATAGCTAATTTTTCATGAGACTCAAATAGTAGATAATTATTAAATAATGAGAGTGGCATATATTTGTTCCTTAACTTTTTAAAAACATGCCAAATATTCCACCCTTACATGTTTAAAGGATGGCAGATCCTTCAAGAAAAAATACCAGAATCTGATGTTATACAGTATATATCATTTCCTTTCTTTACAAGGTTTTTGTTTCATGCCAAATATTTTTTCTTTTGATCACTGTTAGTAGTAACTAGTGGTAAGTAAAGCGTCAATAAATAAATAGGAAGTACCTTATAAGTCAAAAGTGTTATATTCCTTAATAACTGAAATATTGGGCCGGCCCATGGCTCACTTGGGAGAGTGTGGTACTGATAACACCAAGGCCATGGGTTCGGATCCCTCTATAGGGATGGCCAGTTTCCTCACTTCAGAGAGTGTGGTGATGACAACACCAAGTCAAGGGTTAAGATCCCCTTACCAGTCATCTTTAAAAAAAAAAAAAAAATCAGAATAAATGAATCCTTGGTTTTATATGCATGTTATTTCACATTCTTTTTCTAATATAGCTAGCTAAACAAATTTTTTTCTGTCCCCAGGTTATCTTACTTTAGTAAATATACCATAAAGAAGTTTACATAGAGTAAAATTTTTGGTATCTGATAATGGAGAGATTAGTAGAAATTGGAGCTAGAAAACAATGAGTTCAAAGTCTTATATTGGCTTTGTCTCCTTCATTTACCCTTATAACTTACTTCATAACTATAAAGAACCACTGCTTTTAGTTTCCAGACGTACTTTTCCAGAAATGTATGGGAGGAACATGCTGCACACACCTGTGTAAGGAACGCATATTTTTATGCTTTAAATCCAAACTTACACTTTTCCATCTATTGATCAGCAGAATGATTTCCTTTATTTTGTACCACAAACTCTTGTGAGATGCAAGAATATGCCAAGTTGTGCTACTTAAAACTAATACTGTGACCTCCTTTTTAAAAGTAGAACTTAAAGTTGGACATAAAATGACTTTTCACTGTGACATTTACCTCTTCCTAGACTGTAGGTGTTTAGACTAATCTACCTAGCTTTACTCATTCATAAAAGCTTAATCTATTTCATTCGTTTTTATAGCCGAGTAGTATTCCATTGTGTAGATGTACCACATTTTCCATATCCACTCATCCGATGATGGACATTTGGGCTGGTTCCAACTCTTGGCTATTGTAAAGAGTGCTGCAATGAACATTGGGGAACAGGTATACCTTCGACTTGATGATTTCCCTTCCTCTGGGTGTATTCCCAGCAGTGGGATAGCTGGCTCATATGGTAGATCTATCTGCATTTGTTTGAGGAACCTCCATACCATTTTCCATAGAGGCTGCACCATTTTGCAGTCCCACCACGACCTTGAGAGAATTATATTACGTGAAACGAGTCAGGCACAGAAAGAGAAATACCACATGTTCTCACTTATTGGTGGGAGCTAAAAATTAATAAATAAATTCACACACACACACACACACACACACACAAAAAAAACACCAGGGGGGCAGGGGGAAGAAGATATAACAACTACAATTACTTGAAGTTGATAGGACAAGCAAACAGAAAGGACATTGTTGGGTGGGAGGGAGAAGGAGGAGGAGGGAGGGAGGTTTTGGTAAGGGGCTATAATAATCAACCACAATGTATATCGACAAAATATAATTTTTTTAGAAAGTGTATATATATATATAGAATATAAATCCCCCCAAAAAAATAAATAAAAGCTTAATCTAAATTTTTGGTAATACTGCCACCAAGTGGTGATGAAGGCTCATTCCACTTAAAAGTGCAATTATTTTGCCTTGAGTGAAATCATATTTGACTAATGAATTTTTCCATTCCATCTCAAAAATTTAACATAATTGGTTGGCCTAAAAACATACATTGTCATGTCTTTTTTAAAGCATATTTTGAATTATCAGGATACAATCTCATACTTACTCATTAGTCCTACTCATTAGTCCTGTTCATTCTTCCTTCTTTCAGGGAAGAGTACAGCTATTTTCTTCCGTTACCACTTTGCAAATTGACAAGTATTCCAGTGTGAAATATTAGTTCATAGGCTACAGCTAAGTTTCCTAAGCCATTTTCTAAAATAGTCATTTAATGTTCTCGATGAAAAAGGTTAAATCTAAAATTTTTAAAGCAATAAAAAAAAGTTTCACTCTGTTCAATGCAACATTTTAACTCCCCCTTCAAAATACTACAGTTGCATTCCTTATTTAAATGTGACCTACATCGCAAATACAGAATAAGTTATTTCTAAATCTTTGCTTCCTCAAATAAACTACATCTCAAATTTGACAAGCAAATCAATTCCCACCTCATTTTGTTTTATTGGTTCTCTTAACCACAGCACAAATAAAATTGGTTACAAGCAAAAATACTAGGGTTATGTTTCAAGAAACAGACATTTTAGAATAATGAATCATAGGACTTCTTTAAAATGATTTTAACATTTTATTGCTTTCCATACTGATCATATTAGTGCAAATATTAGCTTCTGGTGGTTATAAATCATTCCTGAATTATAGACCAGGGCTATATACTTGACAAACCTCCTTTACATAAACCATACAATAATATTTAGGCTCAATACAGAAATTCAGAACTAGGAAGCAATCAGAATATATTGAATTTAAAACATTTCTCCCATTCTTAAATTTGACATTTCCCAGAGGAAACAGCACAATCTTAACTAGGAGCCTCAGAAAAATATTTCCTTAAGAAAAAAGTTACAAACACACTACCATCATAAATACATTATAGTCAGGTCTAAGCATAATTTTAAATTGTGCTGTTATATGCTAAGAATGTGAATTACAAAGTTTAGCAAAATTGGTGAAACAAACCTAATAATTTACAAGGAAAGCAAGTTCATGTATTAGTGTTATACCTTTTTTTTTCAATTACCTAGTACAGAAAACAGTTCAAGGGCTCACAGGCATATGCAATACCTTTTATTTTTCACAGTTACTGAAATCAGTCAAATATTAAATAATTTAATTCAGAAATATTATTTATGCATACAAACTACACTTGTAACAGCATGACCTTTTACTTAAAAAATAAAGGACGAAATAATATATTTACTTATTTACATATTGCCCATAACACTGATGGGCTATTTTTATGTTTTGTTCTCTGAAAGTTTTGTTGTTTTTAAACAAACAAATACATTTGAAAAGACTGAACCAAAACAGTGCAGTCCTAAAAGTCACATCTTGTCATCAGACATCATTGTCCCTCTAACAACTGAACTAATAAGATTTAAGATTCAACTTCATCCTAAAGAGTAAAGAGCATTAAAAAAAACTCACAAAATCTCAATCTAGCTATTTAAATATAATAAGTCATGCTTCCATAAGATTATCCTTTAAAAATGAAAAACAGTAAAGAGCACAAAATTTTTAAACTTTTACTCAGAACACTGCATAATAAATGTAAACTTTTTGAATGTTCTTTTTCTTCTTTACACATACTTTTCCTCTTAAATACCTTTTTAAGGCCTTGTCATCAAGAGCCTTGATGATATTGTATTGTCAACATAAATGCACTTATTTGGGGAAATATTTTAAAGCAATTAGGTAATAAGCATTCCCCATTGTTTAAAGAACTCTTAAGGTAAAAGTAGTTTTCTATTTAGGTCTCTATCTTTCATGTAAAGCCAACCCCGGTTCTCTGTGTAACTTATCACATTTTACTTACAGTCTTTATTTACTTATTCTCTCGAAGAAGGCAATATTATTTTAGAAACACTCTAAGTACTTTAAATGTACTAAAAATAGAAGGACCAATTTAGAGTTCTGACCTAGGAAACTATACATAAGCCTAGGTTCAGTCCTGGAAATGGGTATTTCTTAGTGAAAATCAAATGACTTTCAGTTTTATTAATCATTCTTCAGTTTAGTACTGATCTGACGGTCAGGCCTAGTTAGATAAAATTTCATTCTGTTTCACTGTGTTTTATACAAAACATTGTAGAAGAAAATTTTAATAAAACACTATAAAATATTAACTTTATTATATAGCTTATATTCTTAGCATTAAAGGTGTTCTGTTATATTGAACAGAAAGTAATGTAATCCTATCATCCAAAGATGCATTAAGCAACTGAATTTCTACCACTAAAATAGTGCCACAATTCACTGAAAAGGCAGGCTAAAGAAGCTATACTTCCCATGTTTCAGACAAAGGTTCCATTAGGCACTCAGTTTGCTATTTTTTCACTGAAAGAACAAACCTTCACTTACCCTTTCTCTGTGACTACTTCTTTTCCAATATATGGGACACATATAATCTGAAAAACTTAAATAATAAAAATACTTTTTAAAAGAATGTATATTCAAGAAATCTCTATTCAATCTAATCTCAGATATTTAAATTTTACCATAGAATAATTTTTTAAATACAATAATGTACTGAATTCTCAACCCAAGATTCCTTTTATATACATATCCTAAATTAACTATCATCTTTGAGATGTAGAATTTCCTACAACATCATATGTGTAAAATAACACTTAACCACAAACTTTGAACTGCTGCATTTAAAATCAGGCAACATCCAATACTCCAGCAGCCACGAGTTGCCGTGAGAGCCAGTCCAACCCTTCGTACAGTCCCATACCACTTCGAGCATCACAGCCCTGAATATACCAGCTACGGCCACAGCATAGTTTATGGAGACTGAGAAGTTCAGTGATTTCTTCTACTGACAGTGCTCCAGCAACATCCTAAAAGATATATAAACACATCATAATTTTTTATCAGTCAGTCCATCGAAATTATCATTTTTCTAATTATTCCTATTTGAATAGAAATCTGTTGATAACATTCTAACAGAAGCCTAAAAAGAAGTTAAAACCTAGATTCATCTTTCAATAATTATTCTGAGATTACAAAAATAGAAAAAATTAGAGTTTTGGTTAAAATGATTTATATGTGTGTATACATATATACAATTTTTCTAAGAGTAGCCTTTTTATAAGCCTTATTATAAGGTTTCAACTTAAAAAAAAAGAAATTAACAAATATAGACCATAAAAAACGGTTTATATATAGAGGTTATATAATGAAGAATTGATTACGTTCTCATTCCAAACACTCCTTGCCCCTACTTCCCAGGAGCAACCACCAGTAACAATTTCTTACGTATTTTTCCAGAAAATTTCCGTGCACATTTATGCAAATAAACAAATACAGAAACATACTTTAGACTTTCTATACCTTGCACTTTTTTGTTTTTTCTGTTTTTTACTTAAGAAACATGATGAAGATAGATTTTCCACATTATTTATAACATCAGAATTACATTCCATTGTCTAAATGCAACAAAATTTAATATTTATTAACATTTAGATTGAAGTCATGTGCTTATGTACTATTATACAATCCATATATACACACATACATACATATATAAGTTTACATAAATTTACATACATTTGCAAAATTATCTGCAGAATAACCTTTGGATATTTGTCTACAGGATAGATTATTAGAGGTAGAATTACAGGGTCAAAGGGTACATGCATCTAAAACTTTGACAGGTATTGCCAAATTGCCCTCCAAGAAAATATGTCAGTTTAATAACCACACCAACAGTGTATATGAGTCTGAGAATTATGAAACATTCTTTTGTTTAACAATCTGATAGATAGGGGCTGGCCCGTGGCTCACTCGGGAGAGTGTGGTGCTGATAACACCAAGGCCACAGGTTCGGATCCCATATAGGGATGGCCGTTTGGCTCACTGGCTGAGCGTGGTGCTGACAACACCAAACCAAGGGTTGAGATCCCCTTACCGGTCATCTTTTTAAAAAAAAAAAACAACAATCTGATAGATAGAAAATGATATTTTACTTTCTTATGTGCATGTCTTAAATCAGAGCTAAATGTATCAGTTCTTAATAATTTGCCCTTTATTTTTTATTAAGGGGAATATTATTTATTCTTCATCCTATTCTTCCCCTCCTATGACATCTACTCTACTCCACTTCACTTAATAGCATTCTCATCATCTTTGATGCTTAGGCTCAAGATCTAGGAATCTTCAGCTATTCCTAGCCCTTCATCCTCCCCAGTCACCAAATTCTAACAATTCTACCTCCATAAAATCTCTTCCATCTGATTCCACCTTTCCATTCCTCTAATTCAGGCTCTTGTTAACTCTCACTTCAATTAATTCAGGAATTTACTCCATCTCCCTGTCTTTAGTCCCTTGCCCTGATTCATTCTACATTCTACCCCCAGAATTACAGTCTCAAAACACTGATAGGATCTTATCACCCACTAGTTCAAAAACATTTTGACTGTTCTCCTTTGCTCATAGAATAAAACCTCAATTTCTCAGTCTAGCCCTGTCAAGCCTTCACAGCATGGCCTTATGTGTTATTCTAGATTTTCTTCTTCATCTCTACCTACTACACCTCACATAACAGGTCTGCTTGATGCTCCCTAAAAACACTCAGCTATTGTTTTCTCTGCCTGTAAAGTTCTTTTCTTCACATACTGACTCAATTCTGATCCATAATTTCAACTCTTATAATTTCAACTCGAATCTTGCTTTTTAAAAATCTTACAAGATGCCACTTTCTCTCTCCCCTAATTCCCTGTAATACTTTGTTAACATTACTGAAGTTACTTACCAGTTTTCCTTGTATTAGATTCATACACATGTGTTCACATACATACAAAGGAGTTTCTGGTGAGCACCAGCTACCTTACTTCTTTTTGTATACTTCAAGATACTCAGCACAGCATTTTCCACATAGATTGTACTCAAAACACACAAAAGAAACTTTATAAATATCTATTAAATTGATTCTCTTTTAAATCTTTCAAGCTGCCTTATGACATAGAATGCATGAAACTACTAAAATAAGTATTTTGATATAAAAATATATTACCTGTTTGTTAGCAAAAATGAGGAGCAAAGCATCTCGTAGTTCTTTTTCTGTTAACAACTTTGCAAGTTCACTGTGTGCTTCACTAATTCTGTCTCTATGACTGCTATCAACAACAAATACGACAGCTACCCAAAAAAAACCCACAAAAATATTCAATTAGTCACTTGTTAAGTTTCAGTAAATGGACCAAATATTTAATGCTCTCAGTAATATATTATGCTTAAAGTTTGTCTACCATCACTATTTTCACACAGTGAAAGGCTGCATATTATGGTTGGAACACCTACCAATAATTACAGGATGACTGCGAGTAGTTCATATAACTTCCCAGGTTTAGGTTCCCCATCTATGACAGGATTTATAACATTTGTTTTGTCAAACAAAAACTGCTTTGTATATCAATTAATATTTTTCTCTTAATGAAAATGTGCAACTCATGACCTTCTACCTACTGATGCCACTTTTTTGAATACTACCTCCTTTACTAAAAAATAGTCTTTTAAGCATTTTTTAAAAATCATCTTTCTCTTTCCAAAGTATTATTTTCTCTAGGCTAAACATCCTCAGACTTTCAACCATTCCTCAAATTCAAAATTCCATTTTTTCCTACTAAATAAGACTCATACTAAGTATAAAAAAATCCCAAAGTAAAAATAATTATCTTGTATCCCATCTAGGTGTAAGGTAGAACACATGGCATGAACATAAGCTTCATGTTGGGGTACAGCAGGCAAAAGTGTAGAATGAGGCTCAAATGTGAATAAAAGCTAGGTGGAATACATGTGATATTATATAGTTTGGTCAAAAGCAAGCCACTGTAGGTTCTTCTGCAAATAACAACTATTTGTGAATGGAAAGGAGGGAGTAGAACTATTAAGAGATTATAATGAGATAAATGTTGAAATAAACTGAGCAGCAGAACCATACACCACAAGTTCAACTCTATACCACCATTTGCCAGCAATCACACCTATATGAATACTGATAATATATGTTAACTGTTAAGAGCAGGAAGAGGTAAATACAGTCATGTGCCACAACAATGAAATACATATACAACTGTGGTCCCATAAGATTATAATACTGTATTTTTACTGTACCTTTTCTATGTTTAGATATGTTTAGATACACAAATACTTACCATTGTGTTACAACTGCCTACAGCATTCAGTACAGTAACATGCTGTACAGGTTTGTAGCCTAGGAGCAATAGGCTATGCCATATAGCCTAGGAGTATAATAAGCTATACAATCTAGGTTTGTGTAAGCACCCTCTGTGATGGTCACACAACAAAATTGTCTAATGAAGCACTTCTCAGAACATATCCCCACTGGTCGGCAAAGCACAACTGTACTCTTAACTGCCTACATAGCTAAGTATAGTTTTTATTTTATAATAATGGTTTATCATGAATAAACCAAAAGTACCATATTCCAGTCTTCCCACCTTCATTTTTTAAAAAATAAGGGGCTGGCCACTGATATTTAAATGTATAGTCTAGTATTTAATCAATGCTTAAATATCAGCTTTGCTAGTTAAATCAGTGCACTGAAAACTGTCATTTAAAAAATATGAAAAATTAAGATGTCAGTTTTGACTCTCACCTTGAGTATTGAGGTAATAATGTTTCCACAATGGTCTTAATTTGTGTTTTCCACCTACATCCCAAATGGTGAATTTTAGATTTTTGTACTCTACAGTTTCGACATTAAAACCTGTTTTTTAAAAAAAAGTTACTTTTATACTGTATTTATATTTACAATGAATGACACATCAAACATAGTCAACCCCCTATTTATAATTGTAACTTACAAATTATCTGCATACAGCAACATCTACTGAAACCTAACCAACCCCACTCCTAATCCTACATATACCTTTAACAGCTGCTAGCTCTTTAAACCTCCACCAGGGTTCTAACCTTGGAATCCAGGTACCTACCAGCTCTGCACCACTTTTACCTCCCACCTCTAACCCTCAGCCAGAGTCACCAATCCCCTATTACTTCCAACTTTCTCAGCAATAATCTGTATCTTTTTACCATCCCACTATCCACGTTTCAGTCCCATAGCCACTGAATCTTGTATTTTTTCTCTGAAATGCTGGTTAGGAGCCCACCAGCATGACAGATCAGTATCAAAAAAGACCCCAAGAACTTGGCTATAAACTAGGGTTTGTCTGTAAAGTGTCCAGTAAGGTAAAAAGCAATACTCATACTTACCAATTGTTGGAATGGGCTGCATGAACTCATCCTGTTTTAACTTAAACAAAATAGTAGTTTTTCCAGCACCATCTAATCCTAATGTAACAACCCGAATTTCCATTTTTGGTCCAATGTGAACTCTGTTATCCTATAATTTAAAATTGTAAAAATATTTTTATTTTGATATAAAGTTACAAAGTAATAGCATTTATGCTTTTTATTTCTTTTTTTTTTTTTTCCTTTTTGTCTTTTTTCGTGTCCGGCAACGGATCGCAACCCTCAGTGTCGCGCCCGTACCGGACTGGGACCGGCAACGGGATCGCAACCCTCGGTGTTGCTCCCACACCTCGCTCAGCCAGTGAGCGGGAACCGGTCTGTATGTGGGATCCGAACCCTCGGCGGGAGCGCCACTGCGCTCCCAAGCGGCACACTGTAGCAGTGCGCCACCGGGCCGGCCCTATACTTTTTATTTCTAAAGCACCTTTGTTAATTATTTCCATGTCTCCTTCATTGCAATCTAAGTTGTACTCCTCAAAATCCCGTGAATCTGATCTTCTCGACTAGATGAATTCCTCCTCGTGGCTAAATCTTTCCTTGGTAAAACTGACCACTCTGTCTCTGCATGAATATACACACACACACACAAACACACACACACAATTTTCCCAGGTTTCCTTAGCTCAAACATTCTTTTTTATATAACATGTTTTTATGCTGTACTAAAAAACTCAAAATACGGCTAAATTAATTAAAAATGAAAATTGCTTTTCAATTCCAGGAAATATCCACTGTTAACAATTTGAAATATATCTCTCTAGACACTTCCATATGCACACATTGCTTAACATACACAAAACAAATTTACTTAAAAAAAAATATATATATACACACACACACTGCAAATAATGTTTTTCACTCAACATTATCTTATGGAATCCTTTCATTTCAATAATACAGACCAACCTTTTTCTTTTATATTATTTATTTTTTTTTATTTTTGCTGAAGCATAATCGATTATACATATTTTGGGGTTAAAGCATTGACTAACATTGCCCATGTGCAACATGGCAATGATCAAATTAATATTATTAGCATATTCATTATTATAAATCGTAATTATTCATTACACACCTTACCCAATCTCTCCCTAACCCAATGCTGCCTCCCCCTCTCCCACGTCTACTAATAGATTTGTTCTCTCCTTCTTTACGTTCAACATACTATTGTAGTCTCTCTCTCTCCTCTCCCTTTCTCTCCTTCCCTTTCTCCCTTTCTTTCTTTCTTTGCACTCACTTATGAGTGATGACATGCGGTATTTCTCTTTCTGCACCTTATTTCACTTAACATAATTTTCTCCAGGCTCATCGATGTTGCTGCAAATTTCATTCTTTTTTATGGCCAACTAGTATTTCATTGTGTATATATACCGCATTTTTCTATCCACTAGTCCATCAATGGACATTTAGGTTGGTTCCATATCTTGGCTATTTTAAATAGAGCTCTAATGAACATGGGAGTGCAGGTATCCCTTTGACACAATGATTTCCATTCCTTTGGGTATATATTGAGAAGTAGGATTGCTGGATCATATGGTAGTTCTATCTGTAGTTGTTTGAAGAATCCTCCATACTGTTTTCCTTAATGGCTATACTATTTTATAGTCCCATCAACAGTGTAGAAGAATTCATCTTTCTGCACATAATCGCCAACATTTCTTATTCTCAGTCTGTTCAATAATGGCCAGTCTAACTGGGGTAAGATGATATCTTGATGTAGTTTTGATTTGCATTTCCCTGATGCTTAGCGATGTTGAGCATTTTTTCATGTGCCTGATAGCCATATGTATGTCTTCCTTTCAAAAATGTCTATTCAGCTCCTTTGCTTGTTTCTTAATTGGATTATTTGCTTTTTTATTGTTAAGTTGTTTGAGTTCCTTACACATTCTGGATATTAATCCCTTGTTGGATGAATAGTTTGCAAATATTTTCTCCTATTCTGTACGTTATCTTTCTGCTCTGTTGATTGTTGCCTTTGCTGTGCAGAAGCTTTTTGGTTTGATATAATCCCATTATTTATTTATTTTTCTTTTGTTGCTTGTGCTTTTGGGGTCTTATTCATAAAGTCTTTGCCCGATCCTACTTCCTGAAGTGTTTCCCCCTATGTTTTCATTTAGTAATTTTATGGTTTCAGGTCTTATACTTAAGTGTTTAATCCACTTTGAGTTGATTTTGGTAATTGGCAAGAGGTACAGGTCTAGTTTCATTCTTCTGCATATGGATGTCCAGATTTCCAAGCATCATTTGTTAAAAAGGCAGTCTTTTCCCCAATGTATGTTCTTGTTGCCTCTGTCAAAGATCAGTTGGCTGGAAGTACATGGGTTGATTTTCAGGTTCTCTATTCTGTCCCATTGGTGTGTCTGCTTTTATGCCAGTACCATGCTGTTTTGGTTACTTATAGCCTTGTGGTATAATTTGAAGTTGGGTAGTTTTATGCCTCCAGCTTTATTTTATTTATTTATTTATTTATTTATTTATTTATTTTTATTTATTTATTTTGCTCAGTATTGCTTTAGCTATTTGGGGTCTTTGGTTGTTATGTATGAATGTTAGGATTGTTTTTTCTGTTTCTGTGAAGAAAGTCATTGGTATTTTGATGGGGATTGCGTTGAATCTGTAGATCACTTTGGGTAGTATGGACATTTTCACAATGTTAATTATTCCAATCCAAGAGCATGGAATGTCTTTCCATCTTTTTGTGCCTTTAATTTCCTTCAGTAGTGGTTTGTAGTTATCATTGTAGAGATCTTTCATTTCTTTGGTTAAACTGATTCCTAGGTTTTTTGTTTGTTTGGTTGTTTGGGGATTTTTTTGATGACTATTGTAAATGGGCTTACTTTCTTGATTTTTCCTTCTGTTAGCTCATTATTAGAGAATATACACATAGTTGATTTGGAGGTACTGATTATGTATCCTGCAACATTACTGAAATTATTAACTAGGTCATTCAAGAGCCTGTTGTTTAGTTTCCAGTATTTGCATAGTTTCCAGAGTTTTACTTATTATTGATTTCCAGTTTTAATCCATTGTGGTCTGAAAAGATACTTGAAATGATTTCAGTATTTTAAACTTTGCTGATACTTGATTAGTGACCTAACGTGCAGTTTACCCTGGAGAAAGTTCCATGTGCTTATGAGAAGAATGTATATTCTGTAGTTGTGGGATGAAATGTTCTGTAGATATCTCCAGGTCCAATTGGTCTGAGGTGTAGTTTAAATCCTGTACTTCTCTGTTGAATTGTTACCTAGAAGATCTGTCCAATTCTGAGAGAGTGGTATTCAGGTTCCCCACTTTTCTCGTATTTGGGTCTATCTCTTTCTCTAGGTCTAGTAGTGTTTGCTTTATATATCTGGGTGCTCTGGTGTTGAGTGCATACATATTCATGATTATTATGTCTTCTTCTTGCATAGATCCCTATATCATTATACAGTGGCCTTTTTTGTCTCTTTCTATGGTTTTTGATTTAAAGTCTATTTTATTAGATATAGGAATAGCTAGTCCTGCTTGTTTTTGGCTTCCATTTACATGGTATATTTTTTCCATCCTTTCACTTTTAGTCTGTGTATGTTTTTACAGGTGGGGTGAGTCTCTTGAAGACATCATATAGTTAGGTCTCGCTTTTTAACCCAATTAGTCAATCTGTGTCTTTTGAATGGGGAGTTTAATCAATTCCCATGTATGCTTGTTATTGACAGGTATTGTCTTACTCCGGGCATTTTATTACTTTTTGTTTAGATGTTTTAAATATCTTTTGTTCTTTTCTTCCTCTTTTATTATGAACCTTCAATGTCTGTTGATTTTTTGAGTTGGTATGATTTAGTTTATTTTTCTCTCTCACTTGCATTTTTATTTTAACAGTGGGTTTTGTTCTTCCTTGTGTATGCATGAGTGCTTATCGTTTTTGAGATTCCAGATGCAGGACTCCCTGGAGAACTTCTTACAGTGCTGGTCCTGTGGTGACAAATTCCCACAGTTTTTGTTTGCCTGGGAAATACAATATTTCACTCATTTCTGAAGAACAGTCCATCTATGTATACAATTTTTGGCTGGCAATATGTTTCTTTTAGTACTTTTAATATATCATCCCATTTTTTTCTGGCCTGTAGAGTTTCAGTTGAGAAATTTGCTGTTAGTCTGATGGCCACTCCCTTATATGTGACTTGGTGCTCTTCCCTTGCTGCTTTTAGAATTCTGTCTTTGTGTTTAAGCTTTACCAGTTTGACTATAACGTGTCTCAGAGAGAATCTTTTTGGATTGAATCTGTTTAGGAATCTTTGGGCTTCCTGGATCTGAAGGTCGCTGTCTCTCCCTACACCTGGGAAGTTTGCCTTATTATTTCTTTGAGTAGGTTTTCAATGCCTTTTCCTTTCCCATCCCCTTCTGGAATGGCCATGGTTCAGATGCTATCTGCTAGCTATCTTAGATTTCCTTCATTTCTTTTAATTCTTTTTTCCTTTTTTGGTCTGCCTGGATTATTTTGAAAAGACCATCTTTGAGATCTGAAATTCTTTCTTCTGTTTGCTCTAAGCTGCTGCTTAAGCTCTCAGTTGTGTTCTTTTTATTTCATTGAATGAATCCTTCAGTTCCGGGAGTTCTGCTACATTCTTTTTTAAGGTATTAATCTCATTCTTTTTTATTGTATTAATCTCATTCTCCTTCATATTCTGGATAATTTTTTCTCATTTTAATGTATTTTCTAACTGAGTCTTCTCTTACCTCTGAGTTTTCTTAAGATCATTGCTCAGAATTCCTTTTAAAACATTTCAAGTTTTCATGCTCTCAAGTAATTCTCTACTTGAGAATTACTGTATTCATTTGGTGGTGTCATATTTTCTTGTTTATTTATATTTCTACGATCTCTATATTGATGTCTGGTCATCTGGTAGAACAGTTGTTTCTTCTATTACTCTGGAGCAGACTTTAAGGAGAAAGACTTCCTCCTTTATTTGCAGGTTCCACTGGTGACTCATTATGTCAATAAAGTCAAGTGTGAGGCAGGCTGCCAGGACGGTGGTCCTGGCTGCTACTATGGCAGTGACCCATCCTTTCAGCGGCAGTAGCTGTGGTAGTGGCTGTGGTGGACCACCTGTGTGGAAACAGTGTTTCTGCTGCTCCCTGGGGCTTCCAGCTGGGCCCCAGTCACAGGATGCTCACTTGCCCTCTGCTCAGGTGTTGGGATGGCTTCCCAGGGATTCCGGCCTCGCCTCTGGTCATGGGATGCTTGCTTGTCTCCTGATCAGGCAGTAGGAAAGGCTCAGAATGTTCTTCGTTAGAGTAAGACAAAAATCTGCTCCACTCAGGTGGCAAAGTGCAAGTTGGCCCCAGGAAAATGAGCAAAAACCCCAACCTTTTTCTTTCAATGCTTTCATGAACCACATTTTACCAATCCCAACTGATAGATTTTAGGTCATTTCTGATTTTTTGATATTACAAATAATGCTGTAATAAACATACCTGTATATATTATTAGCTGCATGACCTCTCTGCCTCACTTCTCTCATCTATAAGATGAGAATAAAAAATAGTACAAAATTTACATAAGATTCTTGGAAGGATTCATTTTTTAAAAAATACACATAAAAGTCCTTACAACAGTTCCTGGCATATAATTGCTATGTAAGTCTTTGCAATTATTATTTTGCTTCCTCCTTTGATCAGTCTTTTCTTGGCTATTATAATACAAAAATTTCCTCATTTTTATTGCCCTTTTGGATGCTCCTTCTCATTTGCCTTTAATCCACCTCAAATGCTGGTATTCTTTAGAGTCTGTTTGAGGATCCTTTCTAATTCTACATATTCTCATTTACTCCATGAGCTTCAATTACCATCTATATGATGACTCCCAAATCTACATTTTAATCCACTCCTAAGCCTCAAAAGTAAAACAATATGTGGACCCAAATACACTTGTGAGAACTCTAGAGACCAGTTGAAAAACTATGCACCCAGGAAAATGTAAAACCAAGAAGGGATTCCAGTGAAAGGGGTAATAAATTTGAGGGCATTCTGTGCACCCATCCCTTCCCTGCCCACTCTAACCCACTTAGCAAGTGAAACCAGGAGGAAACTACAAAATATTAGCAAACTGAATTCAACAACACATTAAAAACATTATACGCTATGACCAAATGGGATTAATACCTAGAAGGCAAGGAGTGTTCAACATCAGTCAATGTAATATAGCACATTAACAGAATGAAAGACAAAACACACATGATCATCTCAACTGGTGCAGAAAAAGCATTTGACAAGATTCAATACCCTTCATGATAAAAACATTTGATGAACTAGGAATAGAAGGAAACTACCTCAATATAATGCAGGCCATACATGAAATGCCAACATCATCCTCAATGATGAAAAACTGAAAGCTTTTCCTCTAAGATAAGGAGAATGACAAAATATGCCTACTCTCACCATTCCTATTCAACATAGTATTGGAAGTGCTAGCCGAGCAATTAGGCAAGAAAAGAAATTAAAGGCATCCAAATCAGAAAGGAAGATGTAAAATTATCTGTCTTCACAGATGACATAATCTTATGTGTAGAAAACCAGAAATATTCCACAAATAAACTAATGGATCCAGCAAAGTTGCATGATACAAAATCAAAACAAAGAAAATCAGTTGCATTTCTATGCACTAACAATGAACAATCCAAAAAGGAAATTAAGAAAACAATTCCATTTATAATAGCATCAAAAAGACTAAAATAGAGCTGACTGGTTAGTTCACTTGGGAAAGCATGGTGCTGACAACACCAGGGTCAAGGGTTTGGATCTCCATAGTAGCCAGCCACCAATGAAGAAAAAAGGAATAAAATATTTAGGAATAAACCTAACCAAGGAGGTGAAAGACTTGTACACCGAAAACTACAAAATATTTGCTAAAAGAAACTAAAGACATAAATAAATAGAAAGACATTCCATGTTCATGGGTTGGAAGATTTTGCATTATTAAGATGTCAATACCATCCAAAGTAATCTAGAGACTCAGTGCAATCCCTATCAAAATCTCAATAAGTTTTATTGCACAAATAGAAAAAAGGCATCCTAAAATTCATATGGAATCTCAAGGGACTCTGAATAGCCAAAACCATTTTGAAAAAGAACAGAAATGGAGGACCTTTGCTATCTGACTTTAAAATATGCTACAAAGCTACAGTAATGAAAACCATGTGGGACTGGCATAAAGACAGACATACAGACCAACAGAATAGGACAGAAAGCCCAGAAATACATCCTTATGTATACAGTCAAATTTTCTTCAACAAGAGTGCCAACACCACTCAATAAAGAAAAAACAGTCTCTTCAACGAATGATGCTAGGGAAACTGGATAGCCACATACAAAAGAATGATGGTAAACCTTTATCTTACACCATATACAAAAATTAACTCAAAATGGATTAAAGCCCTAAGCATAAGACCCAAAACTATAAAACTCCTAGAAGAAATGACATTTGGACTTGACAGTGATTTTCTGAATATGACTCCAAAAGCACAGACAACAAAAGCAAAAATAGACAAATGAGACATCAAACTTAAAACTTTTGTGCATCAAAGAACACAATCAATAGAGTGAAAAAGCAACCTGTGAAATGACAGAAAATATTTGCAAATCATAGATCTGATAGAATATTAAATCCAGGACATATAAAAATATTCCTACAACTCGACAAGAAAAAAACCAAGTAACCCAATCAAAAAGTGTGCAAAGGACTCAAATAGACATATTCAGAGAAAATATTTGCAAATCATAGATCTGATAGAATATTAAATCCAGGACATATAAAAATATTCCTACAACTCAACAAGAAAAAAACCAAGTAACCCAATCAAAAAGTGTGCAAAGGACTCAAATAGACATATTCAAGACAATATACAAATGACCAGCAAGCATATGAAAAGATGTGCAACAACACTAATCATCAGAGAAATGCAAATTAAAACCAAAATAAAATATCATCTCACACCAGTTAGGATGGTCACTATCCAAAAACAAACAGAAAATAACACACATTGGTGAAAACATGGAGAAATTGCAACCCTTGTGCACCATTGTGGGTTGTAATATGGTGCAACCACTATGGAAAACAGCATAGCAGTTCCTCAAAAAAATAAAAATAGAACTACTACACAATCCACCAATTTCACTTTTGGGTATATATCCAAAAAAATTAAAAGCAGGATCTCCAAGAGACATTTGTACACCCATGTTCATAACAGCACAGTTCATAGCAACCAAGAGGTAGAAGCAACCCAAGTGTCCATTGACAGATGAATGGATAAACAAAATGTAGTACTGTATATACATGTAATAAAATATTATTCAGCCTTAAAAAGGAAGGAAATCTTCTCACATGCTACAACATGGATGAACTTTGAGAACATTATGCTGAGAGAAATACGCCAGCCAAGACAAGAAATGCATGATTCCACATACCTAAATGAATCAAGTTCATAGAAAGAAAGTAGAATGGTGGTTAAAAAGCCTAATATTCATAAATTTCCCGGTTATCTCTTCAAGCTGATTATCATAAATTGTAAATCAATTATGATTTTTAGAAAACATACCTAAAAACAAAGTTTAGTACATTACCTTTGTAAATGTCACAGGGATGCTGGCATCCAACTGAATGTGATCTGCAACCTCTGTAAATTGCTGCTGCTGTTTCTGCAATGTTTCCAGTAATCTTGTAATTTCCTGTTTTGCCAGGACAACTCTACAATCATCCTAGGAAAGGGAAGACAGTATTTCTCATAAGCTGTTTGTTAAAGAAATTAGGAAAGGAGATTTACATTGCCAACTTCCAACAAAAGCCCATTTAACATTACAGTATTCGAAGTTAAGAGACAAGTGAGGGCCAGCCCGTGGCTCACTTGGGAGAGTGTGGTGCTGTTAACACCAGTGCCTCGGGTTCAGATCCCTATATAAGGATGGCCGGTTACCTCACTTGGGAGAGCATGGTGCTGACAACACCAAGTCAAGGGTTACGATCCCCTTACCAGTCATCTCTTTAATAAAAAAAGAGAGAGAGAGAGAGACAAATGAAAATGAAAACACAGAAAACCAGAAACTATGGGATACAGCAAAAGCAATTCTAAGAGGGGAGTTTATAGCAATAACTGCCTACATCAAAAAAGAAGACAGACTTTAAATAAACAACCTAATGTTATACCTCAAGGAACTAGAAAAATAAGAACAAATCAAATCCAAAATTAGTAGAAAAAAAGAAATAACAAAGATCAGAACATAAAAAATGAATTAGAGATTAAAATAATACAAAAGATCAATAAAACAAAGAGTTGGTTTTTCAAAAAGATAAACAAAATCAAGAAACCTTTAGGTAGACAAATAAAGGAAAAAAGAGAACACTCAAATGAATAAAATCAGAAATGAAAAAGTGGATATTAGAACAGATTCCACAGAAATACAAAGGATCATAAGAGACTATTATGAACAAATATATGCTAAAAAACTGGAAAACCTACAAGAAATGGAGGATAAATTCCCAGACACATAGAATTTACCAAAGTTAAATCATGAAGGACTAGAAAACCTAAATAGACCAATAATGAGCAATGAGATTGAAGCAGCAATAAAACATCTCCTAACAAAAAAAAACCTCAGGACTGGACAGCTTCACTGCCAAATTCTACCAAACAGTTAAAGAACTAATACCAATCTTCTCAAACTCCTCCAAAAAACCAAAAATCAAAGAAGAGGAAAATTGGTACCAGAAGTGGGGTATACAGATACTTGAAATGTGGATGCAGCTTTGGTACTGGGTAATAAGCAAAGGTTGGAGGAGTTAGGAGGACTTAGAAGAAGAGAAAAAGACAAGGGAAAGTTTGGAATGTCGTAGAAACTTATGTGGTGGCAAGCAGAATGCTGATAGAAATGTGGACAGTAAAGTCCATGTGGATGATGAGGTCTCAGATAGAAATGAGGAACTTATTGGGAATTGAACAAAAGATAACCCTTACTACACCACAGCAAGGAACCTGGCTGCATTGTGTACATTCCCTTGGACTTTGTGGAAGTTTGAACTTAAGAGTTGTGAACCAGAGCATTTGGCCAAAGAAATTTCTAAGCAGCCAAGCATTAAGGACACTACATGGCTACTTCTAACAGCCTACTCTGAGTTATGGCAGCAAAGGCATAATGTACAGCCAGAATTTAAAAGGGAAGCAGAGCATAAAGTTGTGGAAAATTTGCAGCCTGGCCATGCAGTAGAGAAGTGGAGAGCAAGAGAAAAATGCAAGGGCGAAGCTGATAAACTATTTGCTAAAGACATTATCTTGGCGGTGAGGCAGCCAGATGCTAAGAACCAGGACCAATGGAAAAAATGCCCTAAAGGTTTGAGAAGTCTGGAAGGGTGCCCCACCCATCACAGGCCCTGAGGCCTAGAAGGACTGAGTTATCCTGGAGGACAGACCTGGGGCACAGCTGCCCTTGGGATCCTGCCCCCTGCATCCCAGCTGCTCCAGTTGGAACAGCCCCAAGTGTGGTTCATGAAGGAGCTCTGGATAGTAGAGGCCTGAAACCGTGGTGGCATCCACGTTGTGTTAAGTCTGCAGGCCGGCAGGATGTAAGAGCAGTGGAGGCGTGGTGGCCTCTACCCAGATTCCAGAGGATGTATGGAAAAGCCTGGGGATGGAGGCAGAGACCTGCCACAGGGGCAGAGCCACCACAGAGGCCATTTGCTAGAGCAATGCTGAGCAGGAATGTGAGGTCACATCCCCCACAAAGAGCCCCCACCAGGGAAATGTCTAGTAGAGCCAAGACGGCAGGGCTTCTGTCAGGACCCCAGAACTACAGGGCCATGGGTAATATGCAACACCAGCCTGGAAAAGCTGCAGGCGCCAGTGCTGCCCACTGGGCTGCACCTGGCAGAGCTGTGGAAGTGAGGTTGCCCAAGGCTTTGGGGACCCAGATGCCCAATTGTGCCCAGGATGCAGGACTTGGAGTCAAAGAACATTATTTTGGAGCTTTAAGACATAATGTCTGCCCTGCTGGGTTTTGGACTTGTTTGGAACCTGTTTTTCCTTTCTTTTGGCCTATTCCTCCTTTTTGGAATGGGAATGTGTACCCAATGCGTGTTCCACCATTGTATCTTGCAGTAGATAAATTTGGTTTTGACTTTTACAGGTTCAAAGCTAGAAGGACTTTTGCTTTTGGCCTCAGATGAGACTTTGGACTTTTAAGTTGGTGCTGGAGCAAGCTAAGACTTTTGGGACTGTTGGGATAGAATGATTGTATTTTGTATGTGAGAGTGACATGAGTTTTGGGGGGCCAGGGGCAGAATAATGGAGTTTGGATGTGTTGTCCCCTCCAAAACTCACGTGGAAATTTGATCTCCGATGTGGCAGTGTTGGAAACTGATTGAGTTATGCGGGCGGATCCCTCATGAATAGATTAATGCTCTCCCTGGAGGAAGGGGGATTAATGAGTGAGTTCTCACTCTATTAGTTCCTGCAAGAGCTCGTTGCTTAAAAAAGACCCTGGCACCTTCTCTCTCTCTCTCTCTTGCTTCCTCTCGCCATGTGATCTGCTCATACCCACTGGCAGCCTGCTATTTTCTGCCATGAGCAGAAGCAGCCTGAGGCCTGTGCCAGATGCAGCTGTCCCAGAATCATAAGCCAAATAAACCTCTTTACTGTATAAATTACCCAGTCTCAGGTATTTTTGTCATAGCAACACAAAACGGACTAAAACAGGAGGGAATACATCCAAACACATTCTATGAGGCAAGCATTAATTACCCTCATACCAAAACCAGAAAAAGACATACACACAAAACTACAGACCAATCTCTAATGAACATAGATGCAAAAATCCGCAACAAAATACTAGCTAAGCAAACCCAAAAACGCATTAAGAAAATCATTCACTGTGATCAAGTAGGATTCATCCCTGGGACGCTAGGATGGTTCAACATAAGCAAATCAATAAATGTGATACATCACATCAACAGAATGAAGTAAAAAACCATACAATCATTTCAATAGACATAGAAAAAGCATTTGATAAAATCCAACACCCCTCCATGATAAAAAAAAAACACTCAACAAATTACACATAAAAGGAATGTGATTCAACATAGTAAAGGCAACATACAACAGACCAACAGCTAATATCATACTGAACAGACAAATGTTGAAGGCTTTTCCTCTGAGATCCAGAGCAAGACAAAAATGCCCACTTTCCCTACTCTTATTCAACATAATACTGGAAATTCTAGCCTCAGCAATAAGGCAAGAGAAAATAATAAAGGGCATCCAATTGGAAAGAAGAAAGTCAAATTTCTCTATTTGCAGATGACATGATCAAATATATAGTACCCTAAAGATTCCACCAAAAAATTACTAGAACTAATAAATGAATTCTGTAAAGTAGCAGGATACAAAATCAACCAATGAAAAATCAACAGTATTCCTATATGCTGATAATGAAATATCTAAAGTAGAAATCAAGAAAGTCATCCCATTTACAATGGCTACTAAAAAAATGAAATATCTAGGAGTAAATTAAACCAAGGAGGTGAAAGATCTCTGCATTAAAAACTATAAAACATTGGTGAAAGAGACTGAAGAAGACACAAATAAATGGAAAGATACCCCGTGTTCATGGGTTGGAAGAATTAATATCATCAAAATGTCCGTATTACCCAAAGAAATAAACAGATTCAAAAACATAATCCCTATCAAAGTACCAGTGACATTCTTCATGGAAATAGAAAAAACAATCTTAAAATGTATATAGAAAAACAAATGACCCCATATAGCCAAAGCAATCTTGAACAAAAAGAACAAAGCTGGAGACATCACATTACCTGACTTCAAAATGTACTATAAAGCTACAGTAACCAAAACATCATGGTACTGGCATAAAAACAGACAAATAGACCAATGGATCAGAATTCAGAGCCCAGAAATAAATCCACCCACTTACACTCACATGATATTTTTAAAAGGTCAGAAGACTAAACACTGAGTAAAGACAGTCTCTTCAATAAATGTTGCTGGGAAAACTGGATGTCCACATGCAGAAGATTGAAATTAGACCTCTATCTCTCACCATACATGAAAATCAACTCAAAATTTATCAAAGGCCTAAATTTAAGACCTAAAACCATGAAACTACTAGAAGAAAACATATAGGAAATGATACATGAAATTGTACTGGGCAGTGCTATTTTGAACAAGACTCAAAGGCACAAGCAACTGAAGCAAAAATACAAAAATGGTATGATTACATCAAACTAAAAAGCTTCTGCACAGCAAAGGATACAATCAAAAAAGTGAAGAGACAACCTACAGAATGTGAGAAACTGCCTAACTACACATGTGACAATGGGCTAATATCCAGAATATATAAGGAACTCAAGCAACTCAATAGCAAAAAAAACAAATAACCCAATTTAAAAATGGGCAAAGGACCTGAACAGACATTTCTTCAAAGAAGACACACAAATGGCCAACAAGCATATGAAAAAATGCTCACTATCACTAATCATCAGGGAAATGCAAATCAAAATTACAATAAGATATCATCAGTTACAATGTCCATTATCAAAAAGACAGAAAATAACAAATGCTGGTGAGGATGCAAAGAAACTCTCATACATTGTTGGTGGCAATGTAAATTAATATAGCCACTATGGACAACGATGGAGGTTCCTCAAAAAACTAAAAATAGAACTACCTTATGACTCAGCAATCCCACGACTGGGTATATGTATTAGTCCGTTTCTGTTGCTTATAACAAAATACCTGGAACTGGGTAATTTATAAGAAAATGAAATTTACAGCTTACAGTGTCTGAGGCTGGGAAGTCCAAAGTCCAGGGAACACATCTGGTAAGGGTCTTGGTAGTGGCGACAGTGACCCAGGGGTCTCACATGGCAAAAAATGGAGGAGCAGAAAGAGGCTAATCTCTCATGCGCTCTTCTTTTGAAGCCCTCAGAACCACACCCCTGACCACCATTGTTAATCCATTCACTATGGCATGGTCCTACAATCTAATCACCTCTTCAAGGCCCCACCTTTCAATTACAATAGCATTTCCCTCTGAACAGTTATAGTGGGGATTTATGCTTCAGTGAAGCTGGGGCAGGGAGGCATCCAATCTACAGCAGTATATACCCAGTATACACACACATCAGCTAGAGTGATCCTTCTAACTAATAAGATCTAGTCACTCTTGGGCTCAAAACACCACAATGGTTCCCCCATCTTAATCAGTAAAACCTTACATCCTCACAATGGCCCACAGGGCTTTCATTACATATAATTCCCTATGACCTGTGATTTTAGCTCCTATTACTCCCTCCTTCACTTACTCTACTCCAGCCAAAGAGCCCTCTTTTGCTTTTCCTTGAACACACCAGGAATACTGCTGTAGGATTTTTGTCTACCATTTCCTCCACTAGAATCCTCTTCCCCCACTAGGGCTTGAACTAATTCCTTCACCTTCTTCCCTTAAATCTCACCTTCTCTCAATAATGCTTACCCTGACTACTCTATTTAATGATGCAATCTGCTGTACAAACACAAACATGTGGTATGTAGGGTGCTTTTTTCTTTAGTTCTTATCACTTTCTAATATACAGTACAATACTTACCTAGCTATGGTTATGGTTTATTGCCTTTCTTCTCCTTGCTAGAATGTTATTTCCACAAGATTATGGCTCTCTGCTTATTTTGTTTATTGATATATCCTAAGTACCTAAAAGGTACATGGCATATAATAGGCACTCAACACGTATTTGTTAAATGGACAAATATTCAGCATCCAGCATCACGTCTAGAACTTAGTACATAATTTCTTCAGAGGAAAAGATAATTAGGTTTTGTTCTCAAAAGTGAAAATAAATTTGTGATGTTCCATTCATTTCTCTGTTCACTTTCCTCTGTGGCAGGAACTTTTTTTTTTGGCAGCTGGCCAGTACAGGGAATGAACCCTGGACATTGGTGTTAGCACCACACTCTAACCAACTGAGCTTACCAGCTAGCCCTATGGCAAGAACTTTTAAGAACATTGGTTGGGGTTTGGGTTCTGTGACTACAGAATAGAACAAAACTAACAGGTCCATATGAAAAAGGAATCCAAAACCCTGTTTTCATTTGCATTAACATAAAGAGATAATACCATATCATTAACAATTATCACTTATTTTGACACAATGTTTCAGAAACTCTAAAATACTTTTAAATATTTCAGTAACTATGAACATAGTTTTTCATAAAATAAATATGAAAATGCTTTTAAGTATTCAAGTAAATACTATTTAGGACGTGATTCCATTTTGATTTTGCTGGGTAGCTTGAATTCCCATCATGAATTGAACAAGGATTTATTAAGCTCTTTCTGTGTAGATACAAAGACTATAGAAATATGAAGACAAACAAGATGCATCAGATCAGCATCTAGAAGGACAAATACGCATATTGTATCATTCAAGGTCAAATCATAAGACACAAATCACACCAATTATTTGAACAGAATGAGCTTAATATGAAGAACTGTTACCTAGGAGTAGTTATTAACTAGGTAACTAAAAAGATAAAAACAGCTCTGAGGTATCAAGGAGGTAGCCACTGTACAAAATAAATACCACCCACAGGGCTGGGGGAATAAAGGGAAGAGGACAGAATTATTATAACTTAGAAACTTCCAGGAGGTATCCCATGGAGCTGAAACTCAGACCTCTGAGGGAGGCAGCCCTCCCAAAGAGATTGTCATTCACAAGAACCGCAAGCAAATAGGAACCCACAGGAGCTGCTTCCCATCTTCCATTCCCCCTATAGTGCCCCCTATTGGCAGTGCCTAACATAGAGCCAGCTGGCAACACAGAGACATGTTTTGTAGAATTCTAATCCCAGCATCACAAAGCAGAGGATAGAAGCGTAGGATTGGAGCTGAAAGACAATAAATAGCATATACATCAACTGTTACAATTCAATGTGAAAAGGACTAAACAACAACTCAAGACTGATGAAGTTATAGGCTGGCTACAACCATATATGTGTAATCGGATATTTGATTTAAGAGAAAAAACTCTACGATGATAAATGGTTTAGGCTACAGTGATGGGAAATGAATACAATTATTAGCAGTATATCAGAAAGATAAGACAGGGCCGAGCCCGTGGCGCGTTCGGGAGAGTGCGGCGCTGGGACTGCAGCAGCGCTCCCACCGCGGGTTCGGATCCTATATAGGGATGACCGGTGCACTCACAGCGCTCACTGGCTGAGCGCGGTGCGGCCGGTCTCAAAAAGGACAAAAAAAAAAAAAAGGAAAGAAAGATAAGACAGACAGCAGCTTTTCTGAAATTCCTAAGGCAATAATTATTCTTATATCTCCCACTATGAAAGCAGATCTGAAATAAAAATGTGTAAAACTGACAGTTTTGCTAGAATAACCTTAAATCTCATTTATTTAAAAATTAAATCATTTGCAAACTGGGTAACAAATTGCTTACAATACTTCAACCATCACAAAACATGGTTTTACTCTCACACTGAAGTTAAGAATCACTGAATTACCTACTTGTAGGTAGGTAGTATATGTTAGAGAGGCACCCAAAAAAAGACCAAGGAAGAGGGAGTTTCAAAGAACAGCAAACATTTGAGCTGGACCCTGAAGGAGAAGAATTTCCACTATTAGAAAAGAGAGATATAGGCACTCCAAGAAGAAAGAATAGTATATACTTAGCAAAGAAGAGTAAAAGGCACGACTGAAGAATGATAAGAAATTAGAGGGCTTCTAGAACCTATGGCTTTATGGTGGGGATGCCACATGAAAAAAAAAAGGACACTAATATGGTTGGTGGAGCAATCCAAGGTTAGAGACCATGTCCTAAGCAAAACATTAATGAATGCAGCAGACACAAAATATTTATTAAATTAATAAAATAGACTAGTACATACCTCCAGTTATTATTTACTTAACCTTACAACTAAGGTCTTAGCCACATTTTAACTACCTACCTGCTGCAAAGTCTTTTCACAATGGAGGCAGGCTGTTGAAACCTGGGACAACAAAATAGTCATATCTTCTTGCTGCTGCCTGAGCCAAATCAGTTTTTCACGAACATGAGCATCAACAACACTTAGAGCCATTTCTTCTTGACGACACAGAGTTTCATGTAGGTCAGAAAAATAAGCTCGGACACATGATCGAGCATTCTCAGCTGTACCTGGTACCTAAGGAAATAAAAATAAGTTTTAATCAATTGTAAACTTAACAAAGATTTTATATGTGAAATCTTGAACATTTAAATACCATCTTTACTCTTATAATTTCCAAAATTTAAATCTCCACACCATAGCTTTCTCTTCAACTACAGACTTTAGATGTCTGTTTATAAATGACATCTCAAGCAAAATGGAGTACTTAATCTCCAATCTTCTCACCCCTAAACCTAGTTATCTCTATCTCAGTAAAAGCCATTCCATCCTCCTGGGTGTTGAAGCCAAAAAAATTGGAGTCATCCTTAACACTTCTTTCATATCCCACAACTAGTCCCTTAACAAATTCTGCTAACTTCAAAATATATCCAGAATCTGATGATCATGCCTCATCACCTCTACTTCTACCAACCTAACCCAAGCCATTATCATCTCTCACTTGATTATTATAATAGCCTTTTAAATGGTCTAATTGCCTGATCGTCCAACTTACTGTCCAATCAATATTAACAATTCATCACTAAAACCCACCTATTCTACTTCTTTAAAATCTCAAATCTACTTTTCTCCATTCTCACTATCCTAGTATATAGGCCATAAATATCTCTCAACTAGATAATTTCAAAAACTTCCTGATAGGCCTCCCTGCTTCCAATCTTGTTGTTCTTCCAATTCATTTTCTAAATTTAAGAGCAACCTTTCTTAATGTAAATCTGATTATGTCATTCCTATGTCAATTCTTCAATGGCACATCACTGCTCTTAGCCAAGTTCCAAACTCTTTACTGTAGCTAACAAAAACCTGCGTGATTTGGCCTTTAACTCTCTAACCTCTTTTCTTGCCATGCCCCACTCAATACTCAAAGCTCCAACCATACTGAACTTCAAGTTTCTACGATATGTCCAGTCCTCATTTACAGGCATTTCAACATACGCTTTCTCTTCTGGAACAACTCACTCCCCACCTGACTCTTCTCCCTGACTGAATTCCTTCAAATCTCTGTTTAGATATCACTTCTTCTAGGAAGCCTTCCCTGACCTACATAAATTGTTGTACTGCCAAGGCATCCTGTACTTCCCCCCACAAAATAAATAGTCACCACATTTGAAACTGTCTCTCTTCTATGATGGATTACAAGTTCCACAAAGACAGACACTTTTTAAAAAAAACTTATTTCCAGTGACTAGTGCAGTACTGGCACATTGTAATTGCTCAATAAATACTTACTAAAGGTGAAAAGAGAAAAGGGTAAGAAGGTAAGAAGGAAGAAAAAATCCATACATGTTCTGTGTGAGCCATTCCAATTCCATCTTCCACTATTTGTTCTCCTCCCTCAATGTGCTGAACGATTCCAACTAATTTTCTGGAATAATCTGAGATTTCCTCAGTGAAGGTCCGTATACAGTGGGCCATATCTAAAATTGATGCTCGGATCTGGTTAGCTTCTGGTTCCAATACCGAATGCTATAAAATGCAACATAATTATAGAAAAGAACTCATAGTATTGACTAATGATATAGAAAACTATTTGTCCCTTCAGTTAATGCAAAAAATCAGCCACATGTGGCTTTTATAATACATTTAGAAAAAGCACAGCATAAGAACGTAAAAAATACTAATTTGCTTCCACTTCTTCATAAGAAAACTATTTATCCTGGGCGGGCCCGTGGCTCACTCAGGAGAGTGTGGTGCTGATAGCACCAAGGCCATGGGTTCAGATCTCCTTTCCGGTTGGCTCATTGGGTGAGCGTGGTGCTGACAACACCAAGTCAAGGGTTAAGATCCCCTTACCGGTCATCTTTTTTTTTAAAAAAAAAAAAAAGAAAAAGAAAACTATTTATCCTGCAATCATTTTACCACTAAATAAGAAACCAAGAGACTCTCTAAAATTGTACTGGTAACAGTTTATCAACAGACATATTGTCAAAGCAATCCACTGCACTTTGAAAACATGCACACAAAAAAGAGAATTTTTTTCCTGCTGGAAAGCTATTTTTCAGTAAAGAAATAATCATGTGTCCTCTCTAAAATTTTTATGACATTCAGAAATTAAATCTCTCATTGAGAGAAAGAGAAGATCAATTCATTGAACTTTCAGAAGGAAAGAACGAACCTAAGGTTACTAGAGATGGAGAGAGGGAAGGAGGGTACTTGGGGAGGAATAGATTGGGTAAAGGGCATAAATGAAAATCATGATTTATAATAATGAATATACTAATAATAATAAAAATAAATAAATAATTTTAAAAAGAATTTGTATCTCATTACTTTTCATGCTACCAAGACCAATTCATTCATCACTTAACTTTTCTTCATCCCTAGCTTTAGCATAAAGAACTAGGTCAGTGAAAATGAATGGTGGACTGGTAAACTAGTCAGTCATCCAATTTAATTAAATTCATACCTTGTGACCTTGGTGTTTTCCATATTCTTTGCAGACACAACACATGAGTGGGCTAGTTTGACAACCTTCTTCTAAGCAAACAAACTCAATGGCATGCACCTGGTGCTGAGAGCACATGGTTTTCTCATGAGGTTTATCAGCTAGAGGCACTCGCCTGTGCTTTGCTAACGTCTTTGTGGAATGAGTAACTTGGGAACAGTCTGAGCACAAGTGAGTGGCACACACAGTGCAATATACAGACGCGACATGAGCTTCATCTTCATCACAACGAATGATGCTCTAAAAAACAAAAAGTTAATGCCTTACAACTGAACTCAATCTAACAGGAGAATTTTGAAATATAAAAGCCCATAATCTTTTTTAACTGACTAGCCTTTATACAAGGGTATTTCAAAAAGATCGTGAAAAAACGGAATTAAAATATAATACGAATCTTTATGTGAACTTTTTGAAGACTCTTTATATATGAAAATAAACTGGTAATTAAGCACAAAGGTCATTCACTACTCATCTGAGAACGTATTCATTTCTACAGGTAAGTGAGAAGACATGGTATTCCCAAGATTGACTACCAATACTTGATGAGTCTGAGGCCAAAAAGCTATTATCATAAATTCACAGTCAGTGAAAAGAGCTCTTCCACCAAACACCCTCACTTTAAACATGAGAAACTGAACCATAGAGAGTTTAGAAGTCTTTTTTTAAGGCAAAAAAAAATTATCTGATATTAAATGCATCCCCACTGCTTTAAATATTACTTGTCATGCTCATGTATAGGAAGGACAGAAACACAAATGCTATTTAGATAACTTGGGAGTATGCATCAAAATTAGCTGTGAAGCTTTTAAAAACACAGATGCCCAGACTCCAACCTGGGACTTTCTTAGTTCAACAGATTGTGAATAGGGGCTGGTTGGTTAATTCAGTTGGTTCAAGCTCAGCCTTATAACCCCAAGGTCACAGGTACAGATCCCCATCCCAGCATGCTACCAAAAAAAAAAAAAAAAAAAAAAGGTTGTGAGCGAAGTCCAGACTTGTGTGTTTTTTTCTAAATATAAGCAAGTATAGCCCAATAGTTCCATAGGTGAGTCTATTGCACAATCATGGTTGAAAACCACTGATTTAAGCAAACAACAACAACAAAAAAAACCCTACATTATATACAAGCTTCTAAATATTATTTCTAGTTTTCATGAATTACTAAAAAAGCATTTCAAGTGGGTAAAAAATTACATGTCAGAAAATAAAGAATGCTAAGAAACTTTTCCTAAAAATCCAAAATTGGAGGCAGAGAAATTTGGTATAATTTTCCAGAAATAAAAATTAGAAAACACATCTGCTAGGAAAATACAGGAAAATTGTCAGGGCCCCTCAGATGTTCAGAATCTTGCTGAGCATTTGACATAAATATGCACGCACACCCAGGTGTTCCTTGGCTATTGGCTGATGTAGATGCATATGGGCACCCAGATATCCTGGACTATGACTTAAGTATAAATGACAAATGGCTCTGATCCACGGGGTCCCCCAGCCCCAGGGTGCCCCCTGGGGGCACTATTGCTACTGGAGTCTGTGGCTGCAAGCTGTTGCACCCCTGGGATGCCCCGAGAGGCCACTGCCACTGCTGCTACCGCTGCTGTAAGCTGCTGTTGAGGACTGAGCTCCTGTCACCTGCCAATGGCTCCCGGGATCTTTCCTAATTCCCTAGCATGGACCTGCATGTAAAGGGTCTGATGACCCAGCCTGGCATGTGAGTGGTCTGGTGACCCAGTCTATACAACAGGTTTGAAGAGTCTGAGCCCTAGCCCTGACAATACAAATGGAAACTTAATATAACTAAAATAACGAAATGCTTTGGCTTTAGTTATGAATTATGCCAACCAGACAATTAGCCTAACTACAGCCTTAACCATACAATTGGCATAGTCACTATGCTATTGCTGTAACCCGACAACTGGCATAGTCGTGTAGCTTTACAACATCAATGATGTCATTCATTATCACAATAAATAAAAAATGAACCCAAAGTTGAACAGTTTTGTTTGCAATTAAGACAAATATGTACATGTACCATAAAAAATTTGTCTTCTGTTTTCCAGACTTGACAAATAATTTACAAGGTCAACACTATGAAATAAAGATAAAAGATAT